CCCTAGTAGTTTGAAGGTGTTTGGTAGAAGGGCATATTTTGATGGGAGAGGGAGGATCACAATCCCCCACCCTCCAAGAATCTATGCTTGTAAGTTCTGATGATGACAACACAGCAACGTACTGGAAAATGAGCTTCTATTTTTCTCCAGGACTCTGTAGTTACCTGTACAAAAACAAGTCAGTGTGGATATGGAAAGATCCTTTAAATTGCAGTGTAGTGGATTGGAAAGAGTCTGGGGTAGCAGTCAATAAATCTAGGATCTTCCTTTTCTAATCTCTTCTCCTTGGTTAAATGTTGAGTGTAGCCTTTGGAGTTGGAGAGGCATTCCTGGCTGTATATTGGGCATGTTTCGTGGCCACTCTGGGACTTAAGAGTTGGGGTTTGTAAAGTGGCTTTCAGGAGCTGCATGGAACCATCTCCTTACAATTCCAAGCAAAAACCTTGAATTTTTCTCAGGAGTAGAGTAGTTAGTTGGATAGTCCTCCACTGATAGTCCAAGAAGACTTCAACTGATATACCTTGAAGCGACTGCTATAGTGTGGGAATTCACAGATAACATATGCAGAATTTCATTGGTGGTCCTTTGGGAGAACTTGACAAATCTTCAGCTCATCTAGGTACTTCATGACCCCACAGAAATAATTAGCAAAGACAGAGATATCAGCTCACACTTAAAAAGTGGCTTGACATTCACCTGGGAAGAGGTTAATACACAGTCAATATTCTCAAGGGGGGCTGCTGTGGTCAAGAAAGATTAGTAAATCTCTTGGAATTTTTTTAAGTAGGAAAGTCTTTCCCACTTGTACATTGGGAAATTTGATTTGCCTTTGAGGATTAAAGAGGCAGCTATGTCCTAATGTTCATTCAATTTTAGGGTAGCCACAAAGGTGTTTCATGAAAGTGAAATGCTAGTTACACAAATATGAAATGAATTTGTGATGAGGATACTGGGTCCGTGATAAAACAGTCCCAAAAGCACTTCACCTGGGACATTAGCTTGCTTTCTAGAACATCAGCAAACAGTTCAAAATTAATGTAGCACACCATGCAATTTGCCATATTGCTACACTAGCCTGATATTTGTTTCCTTGTTATATAAAACCTAATTAGTTAAAGGGCAATTCAAATAAAACTTTTATTTGGGGGATTTAGAAGTATTAAAGCAAAGGAAAAGGAGAAACAAATGTATATTACAGCTCTCCAGATAGCATGAACACGATTACTAATAACCCTTGGGTGGGAAAATGATTAACCTTGTTATTTTCCTTACAATCCAGTTTTCTACAATAAATTGGTACTACAAAAAATATTTGGATGCTGTATGGAAAACAAGTTGTACAAGGTCTCCAACTGGCATCAAATGTTTTCAAGTATGAAAACATCTCTGGGCTTGCTCAACAGGCTGATGGATCCCTGCAGGTAGTACTTCTCTGTTTAATTGTCCTGCCAATTAAATAAAATTAGAAACTAATTTTTAAGTCTGTGATGAAACCAACGTGCATTATATGAGTAAACAAGAAAATGCAATGTTTCCCTTAAGGGAACTTTCACTTCAAACTTATTAATTTGGGGTGGGGAGTGGACTGCCAACACCTTCATTGATATTCTATGCTTTTTATGTCATTTTTTTTTAGTTTTTGAAAGTAATTTAAAGAAATAACCCACAATCTGGTTCACAATATTTATATTTGAGGAAGTATTTCTATTTACTTTAAAATTCCAGTATTTTTGAACTGTTCTTTCTTGATGTGATCTTTCATTTTGTGAATAGTCCACCTTTATCCGCTGTCTCATCCTTGACCTGCTTTTATAAAAAGTGATAATCATCCACTCAAAGCTATTTGCCATTCAGCCAATTCTTGCTGTTCTAATTATGCTGTTTTTTAATATATTGTTTAAGCTAATTAGTGCAATAATTTGCTCTTCAGGGCTAAGGACAAGATAATATATGTTAGGAGGAAGTGATTAGTTTATCATTTTAACAAAAAACACCCACAACGAGCCAACAATAAATTTGGATCATCAGCTTCAACAAATGTTCACTTGGATAAAATTGTGAATGTTTACTTTTAAGTGTATAATACATTTTATTAAAAAAAAGAAACTTGAATGAATCACTACACATCAGGTAGAGTAAAAACATAGATCAAAAGGCTTAACTGGCTATAGATCTATTTTGGGATTCATTAATTGCTGACAATATCACCAGTTCTTTTCAGCCATGCTGAAATCACATTAAAATGGCAAAGTTTTAAATCAAGTATCCTTGGGATGATTAGGAAACCTATTTCCTAATAGATAGACAACAGCAGGTACAAATGACCTTAATGGGAATTTTGTTTCAAAAATATTTGTAGCAGATGAACGGAAAGGATGACCACTCTGTCCATGCTTTTGAACCTTAATATAGGCATTGATATTCTGAGATCTATATTCAAAACCTCTAGCCATTATGTGTACTGCATATGTATGTACACTTATGGTTACATACATCAATAATTTACATCAGTAATATACAGCATTTATTTTCCTTGAGAAATGCTTTGATGATCAGAGTGAATCTAATGAGTGTTATTTCTGTTATAATGGTAGCTTCCTGTTCAGCAGGTGAAATTGTATTCATTGATTCCTTCTTTGGGGTAAAGGGAAAGCTCTGGCAAACAACCAACCTTAGTTAAAAATCCAAGCAGTTCCCTCTTCTCTGGTTTGCACCTTGAAAATCCCCTTTCCCATGTCCTGTAGAACAGGTCGTGAGTCAACTATGTGTGAATTCTTGCCCTTTGGAGAGGAACGGAATCCACTAGTACACTCAACAAGTGTCTCATAATCCCACAAAGAAGGAACTTGTGAATGCCATCAAAGCAGCCCAGAAGATACAGTCATGTTTGATGGTTTCTTTGTAAATCTCTTTACCTTAAAGCCAAGCAACAGGCAAGCTAGTCATGTGTGATGGTGGGTGACCCCTTGAAGCTCATACATCCTGTTTCCTGGAAATCTGAGAAAACACCAATCGCACTCCAAGCAGAACAGCCAGAGGCATGTGGAAGCAGAGGACAGACTATCACTTCTAGTGAGAGGGCTTCTGTCAGGTTTTAAGAGCTAAATTTCCTGGATTCCTGATAATAACGGTTAACACATTTTTCAAAGGCACAACAAAGCATCCTTTCAGGTCACCACTGAATTCAAAATAAAACAGAGCAAAACCAAAGTGGAATTTCCCGATTGAGTGTGTAAAAGGTCAACATCTGCTGATGCTCAGATATGGCGGATGTGGTGGAGGCGGCCGAATGAGATGTAGAGTGAGCAGTACAGTCAGAGGGTCCATGCAACACACAATTGACACTCTGAACAGAAACACACCCCAGCGCCAAAGAACTACTTTTCCATCCATCCATTTCTGAAACTGTTGACCTGCCAGATCACATGGCAGCCTCCATGATGTGTCTCAGCTTGCTTCCTTTTGGTTCCTTCTGGCTCTAAGATACATGCGCGGATGCAATTGTCAAGGCCTGAGAGGAGCACATTATGGGGTATTCATACAGTTAGGCAAATGCCAAGGTAGATACTAAAGCAATAAAACGAGACTATCTGAACTGAAGGTTTGTGTTTTTAAGTTTGTAGAACAGATGCCTTTCCAATAATATCACAGAGAACACTGTACCATTAGGTTAGTATCTAAATGGACATGAACACTAACTACTTCTATTTGCAAAGTAGATGATTTCCATGGCATTTAGCACATCTAGTTCTTAGGAAATTGGTGCCTGGGTCTATTCACAAGCTTAAATAAGCTGGGTTGATTTATAATTTGGAAGACCTGACTGTGCATTTATAAGAAGCAAATGTTGTTTCATCCAAATTATCAGAGTGTTGCTTGTTGGAAGATGTTTGGTATTGCCATTCTCCAACTGTTGCTATTTACACTGCAATCACCCAGCTTGGCATAGCACCTATGATGCTAGCCTGTGAGAGGGTACACTGCAGTGAAAATTCTCTTGACTTTTACAATGCATAATTGCACTTCTGGAGTGCTTTATTTCTGATCAGTTTATCCAGAAGTTATTGCAATATTTTAGCCTGCACACATAAATGGTGCAATATATGAAAATATGTAAAGTTCTGCTCTGAAAAGTGATTAGTTATTTCCCTAATGGGCACATCAGGGTTGATGTCAGAGTGCCAATTTGTCACACCTGGAGAAAGAGCTGTAGTTTACTTCATGATAGATGAGAGAATGTTCTCTGCAGTGATACTGGACAAATAGAGGGAGTAACAGGGGTTTCTCTTTAATGACTTGAATTTCTACTAAAAATTTCTTGTAGGAATTTCTAGTACTCTAACTCCTAAATTCTGCATCTTTTTTATATATATCTCTTCTCTGTCACACTTAAACCTAAGTGGTCAAGAAGATGTGGATCATTATAGTTTAAGAGAGAAAGGAACATTCTGATGATCTTTTTTCCTTTATTCTTCCAGAAAGGCAGATGATCACAACGTGCTTGTTTCAGGCCTTCACAAAACCAACAGTTTACCGCATTAACAAAACTTCCCCTTCCCCCTGGTTTCATGGCTTTTTCCTTGGGTCCTAATAATTATGCACAAGGCATTCATTGGTATTCATTTTCTGCTTTTCCAGATTGTATTAGAAATGCATACCTAGTCCTAGAGAGTTCAAATTCTTTGTTTCTTACTAAGTATGGGTAATTGGATTATTCATATTTTGGTAAATGAGATATGCTCACCTAAGTAACTGCACCTCTGGCCTTCACTGACCGACAATAATAAGGAAAGCTGTGGCACCATGTCCACAGAAGAGTTACACAGAAATAACTATTTTATCTATGCATTCGCTATTTCTGTACAGAAAACCAACATACAAATGCAATTCACAAAGAAAATACTCTATTACATCAGAAATGGACTCTGGGAAAATAGATCTGAGGAGCTGAACAACAAAGCAAAGCTAGCCTAGACTTGGTTTGGTGATTTGTTACTTACTACCGATACTGGAAATACTGGGGATACCTGGAGAGAAAGAGAACAATAAAGAAAAGCAATTAGCTATAACATCTTTAAATTAGTATAAAACTTTTAGAAAATGCATATTTAAAAACATTCAGGTCATTAGGAAATTAGCACACTGAAAAATTATATACAAATATCTAGGCATTGAAATCATTTTGGTTTTATTCTAGACCTCTGAGGTTCTTAGAGTTGGGAAATCATGCTCAACTTCAATAGCTGGTGTAAGGGAGTCTTGTGACAGGCTCACACATTTTGTGGCTACCTATAAGGTTAATGGACATTTGTATGTGGTTCAAAACATAGTGAGCTAGGTTTATGTTCTGGGCATAAGACACCAAATACATACTGTATGGACCTATACAAAGATATCCACATCTGCAATAGATCTTTGAAAGTGTGCTATGAGATGCTTGTGCTAGCTGCTGAAAATCATTTGGCACTTTATTTGATTAATTTCACATAACCATCATTTTTATTCCTCTTTTACTTGTCAAATATGTGGATTAAACTCTGTAATAGAAACTTAATTGAGCAGAATAATTCAGGAATACATTAGGTTGTTCATATTGATCATGGACTTCATTGATTTTTCAGCTTTCATTTTAATTCATGAGTTGTACAAAAGTAGTGGAGCCATTTCAGAGTGTGGCTGGACTTGGTAAAATGACATTTTAGTTGGGTATCCAGACTAAGACTCTGAGCCAAGCAATATAGTGCTGTGGCCAACAGCAGGGACATAGAAGCCTGGCTGTCTGAGTTTGAAACTTGTCTTTGAATCCTAAGTTATTCCTGACTCTGTGAACTTGGGACGTGCTGCTTATGCTCTTGGTGGCAGGGGCTCAGTTTTCTACTTGTTAGGGTTGTTGCAAGGATGATATAAATTGAAAAATGTAAAGCACTCAGAACATTGCATGACAAGTACTATGTGCTATATCCATCTTTACAATTATTGTTTTAGCTGGTTCATCAAGAATCACCATGAGACACTGCTAATGAAAGGTCAAAGATTTGTAGCCTTGCCACTAAATTCAGGAAGCAATATCAGAAACATGTGATGGTGAAAGTTGTGCTTCACAACTAACCAATTGGGTGTTGAAGTTAGCAAGTTCCCTAGCTTCCCAACTTGTTTCCTTATTTAAAAACGGGCTAATAATATCTACTGCATAGGGCTGCTGTGAGGATTGAATGAGATAATCCATAAAAATGTCTGACGCATGGTAGGCAGTCAATGAATGATAGCTGTTAATGAGTTGTTCAGGCTTGTTTTCTACATCATTGGAGTGTAGTAACAGGTGGTAACTATAAGAGTCATTAAGCTTCTATTTTAATATTTATATTTGAATAACTACCCTCTGCTTATATGAACCAATCACTGTAACTTGCTCAGAGATTCTTTGTATTTTTTAAAATCAAGAATTATTTTCTTATTTAATAGTGGGGAGAGGAGAATGAGGAATAAAGGCTTACTATGATTTTTGTAAATATTGGAAGGAATTTCAGTTATTAGATATAACAAAAATCTCTTAAATATTCAGAGTTTATAGTGATTCAGTTTAATTATGATCATGTATCGACAAAGCTGGAAGCCATTCCCCTATTTTTACCCTATGCCATGAACTGAACTTTAAGCTCAGTGTAATTTCTGCAAAGGACCACTACATTCCTGACCTGATATTTCAGTAGACTAGCTAAGCTGCAGCAAGGCAGAGATTTGGTATTGAATCTTTTTTTCCTCCCTTTTCAAATCCCCTGTTGAGTGAGGTGCAATGGCAGCATCATAATTTTAGTATCAATTGCAGGAGCTCCAAATTTCCCCATGATTGAAAATCCTGCTCCAGTGCAAGGAACTGCTTGCCTGTTGTAATCCGTCAAAGAGAATGTAAGTTAGGACAGCAGGAAGAGACTTTTCATGTGTTTTCAAACTTATTTGGAATAAGAGGGCCATGCATAATGCAAGGTGCTTGATCAGACACAAAGGAGAGCAAGCCAGCAAGACTGATGCAATATTTGCTGCAGTTGAATACTTTAGAAAGATGCAGAAATATTTCTATTCCTTTGAGGATACCAGCGCAGGAGAGAAATGTTCATTCCAAATACACAAACCTCACCAAAGTAGGCCATTATGAGATCCTATTTTCCTCATGAAGATGTTATTACCTAACACTGGATGTTTAAAATTCAGGTTCTTCCTCATCTTGTGGCTTACGGTTTTTTGAGGGGCTGCCAGATGAATTACTTTCTGTTCAACAGTTGTAAAATGTGAATTGCTTAGGAAAGATTTTTAAGCTTCTCATTTAAGTAAAGATTTTTGAAACTGAAAATTTCTAAGCAACAAGGGATGTCCATTAACATATTTTCACAGGTTGTTTATTCCCTAATTCTTCTTATTTTAATAACCAAATACCTTGCTGTGGGTTCTCTTCAGACAGCTTAAGAATTTAGTAAATCCATTACATCATTAAAACATTACAAGGAAGCCATAAGAAATCCTTCAAACCCTCAAGGAAGTAAGACAGGAAGGTCTAGAAATGAATGCCAACAGCTCATTTCCTGAAAGGTGGAGTGTCTTTGGTGTCCCTGAGGAATGAATCAGCGAATGAGATTCTGTCTTACAACACTGACTGCCCATATGCCATGGGAACTGGGGTCACATTGTGCTCCAAGAGATTGTCTAGGCAAAAGCTGGTAGATTTTTCTTAAGATTCCCTTTGAAGTGATAGCTGCTGGGTTCTTTTTACCTTGAAATCTGAGCTCAGATATTATTTCTCCCCTTCCTTCTCTGCATCCTTGATATTAACTGCTCTCTCCTCTGTGACCCCACATTGCTTGACACAGACCTCTGTGATGGATTTATCAACTTGTTTTTTGTGATTATTTGCGTGTTTGCCTGAGGGCTCTGAGGGACAAACTCCAAGTCTTAGTTTTTGTATCGCTTGTATCTGCCTGGGACAATGCTTGACATATAAGACTTGCTCAATGTACATTTGAGCAAAAATTTATTGCTTGTTTCCATGAAGGTTTGTGTTATGGTAAGAATATCATTTGGGGGCATAGCTTGGTTTTGCCCCTTATGAAATGTTCCACGGAAGTGCTTCTGAGTTCAGGATTAATGAATGTTTTAGTTGTCTTTGAATACTTCCCCTATTCTGTGAGGAAGAGTTTTACGCACTGTAAAGATTTCCCTCACTGCTTTACCTTCCATGCAACTGAGAGCTCAGGGCTCGACCTGATGCTCTGTTGGGGAAACTGCATAGTGTTTAGTGTTTGGCCTATTTTCTTTGTGTCCTTTTTCTTATACCTTCTTTTCTTTTAAAAGTATTATTTACTTACTCACTTGTTTTCTTATTTATTTGAAAGGCAGAGTGAGAGAGAAGGAGAAAGACAAAGAGAAGGGGGAGAAGAAGCAGCAGCTGCTGCCGCCAGATCCTCCACACGGGTGGCATGGACCCATGTCCTTGGGCCACCTTCTGTTGCCTTCCCAGGTGCACTAGCTGGGAGTCAGATCAGAAGCCGAGCAGCTGGGATTCGAGCTGGTGCTCCAATGTCAGGATGCCAGCATCACGAGAGGTGGCGTAACCTGCTGCACTGCAACGCTGGCTCCCACTGGTCTTCCTTTTCAACTTCTATTTAATTCTTGTATTTATATTTGTCTTTTTTGCCAAGACACTGGAAGTAGGTAAATATTTTTTGGGGGGTTTAGATGTGTATAGATCTGAAAGCCCCTTTTAAGAAAAAGAACATTAAAATATAAAACGAGATATAAAACTGGATTTTTTTTTTGTCAGAATGAGTCCAATGAGGGATCCTGAAGTTTAAGCTTCATTGGTTCAATCTATCTCTGGAACAACCTCAAAATTGCTTGGGAAAGATAAATAGATAAAAGGTAGATAAAAAGGCAGAAAATGAAGGAAGATACTAGATAAGCTAATTCACAAAAGTGATGTAAAATTGAGCACTGAAAGAGATTTTAAAAGTCATCTTATTCTGCCCTTTGATTTCACAGACAAGGCATAAAGAGATGCGAGTGCCTTGTCCAAGCTGACCCTTTTACACTCAGCATCAGAGCATGGAGTTTCTAGTCCCTGTCTGATACTTTGCTAAACCCACACTGAGGAAATGAAGCACAGGTATGCGGGAGTTTGCCACGAGTTTCTGTGATGCACTGTATGATTTTAGTGCTAATGCTTCTTCTAGAATAGGAGTGTCATGGCGGCCTGAGAAATACACCACGTTGAGGGAGCCTAGGAGGGTATTATGCCACCACCATGTGCCTGAAGAATAAGATGCTTGCTTGCTGCACAGGTCTTTGTAGTTAGTTCCTCCTGTAGCAGCCCTTCCCATTGCCACATTAATTTCAGTGTTTGTTTTAAAGGAATTCTGTTGTTATTAGGGGGAAGAGAATCTGGTAGAATTATGTAATGAGATGATGTGATATTTCCTACTTTTTACATTTTTACTGCACCCCTTCCCCAGGTAAATCACGAAAGGGTACATAGTTAAGCAAGTCAACATGATGGAGATCTCAAAACTAAATACCCTGGTCATCAGAAGCAGATTAATGCAGTGCTGAAAGCCATAACTCCTTTGGAGAATCAATGGAAAGTTCAGCAGCTTTTCATCAAGAAGGAAGCAGAAGGGATAAGGATTCAGTGTGCTTCAAATTGAGAGGTAAAATTACCATTGTTGTGATTGATGGTTTGAGAAAAAAAAAACCATCAAGTAGGTGATGGGATCTTCTTACAGCTAGACTGAAGCCACTGGGAGCTCTAAACTCCAAAAAATGCCAGTTGAAGAAGAGAGAGGTGATCGGTAAGAAAACATACAGCAGATTTATTTGTATTCCAAAAGAATTATTTCCAATGTCCTTCCAGCCCTGGTCGCTGGTCCAAACTGCGGTTGATAGGAGATGTGGTGTTGTCTCCCAAGAACATGAAAGTGAGGGAAATGAGAATCTCTTCACAGAATTATGCTGTGAAATCATAAATAATCCGAGTAGAGGA